TGTTACGTTCAGCTAAATAGGTTAAACCTAAAGGGTTTGTTCCTTTTAAGTATCTAAATACCCGTTTAACCATTTGCCATTTGTTTTCTGTTGGGTTTATCTGATGTCTACTTAAGACGTTCACAGCGTATGAGATATCTGGTCGAGTCGCTCCTGCCAGATACAGTAAACTTCCTACTGCTTCACGATATGGTATATTTTCTTTTGCTTTCGTTAGTTGTAATAACTTATCGTCACAATCTTCCTCTCTCATTTTCCTGTCTTTATTAGCCACCTGAGTGGTTACCATCGGTGTTCTTTGAGGATATAACTCGGTCATACCAAATTTCATTAATATTTTATCAATATACCGCTCCTGAGTAAGAGTAATAATTCGTTTCTCGCGATCTCTCCCAATAGAAATTCCCAGGAACTCTTTTGGCTCACCCAGATCAGTCATTTCAAACTCGCGCTTTAATTCGTTCTTTACTTCGTCTAATTTACGTTGATCATTACTCGCTATTAAAATATCGTCCACGTATAAAAGTAGAATCAGAAATTTACCATTTTCTCGCCACATAAACAAACACGGTTCTAAACTACTGTTCTTTAGGCCTACCTTTAACGCTATTTCAGTAAATCTAATATTCCAACGTTTAGGACTAATTTTTAAACCGTACAAAGCTCGTTTAAGTTTACAAACTTTACTTTCTCTGTCTTTCTGAGAAACTTGAACACCGTCAGGAATTTCCATGTAAATTTCTTCATCTATTTTCCCATTCAAAAAGGCAGTTTTAACGTCTAATTGACACGTTGTTAAATTGAATTTATTTATTATCGAAATGACAGATCGTACTAGAGGCAATCTAGAAACCGGCGCGTAAGTTTCTTTCAGTTCGTAAATATTTTTATCTTTGAATCCCCTAATTACTAATCTAGCTTTAAATTTTATACTACCGTCTTTTTCCGTTTTTCTTTTAAACACCCAACGTGAATCTATAATATTAGCCCTTTTTCCATCCGTCGTTAGTTTAGGTCTCGGAACTATTTCCCATACTTCATTTTTACTCATCGATCTCAATTCACTATCAATTGCTTCTTTCCAAGACATCATTTCGTTAGTTTGCATAGCTTGTTTGTATGAGATTGGATCTTGATTTATATCAGCTAACAGCGCGTAATACATTTCGTCTTTAAAGTTTTCGATCTTATTATCATACTCATCATTTAATTTCGTAGCAAGTAGAAGCTTACTTTCCACATCGTCATTATCAAATTTTTCACACAAGCTTAAGTCATTAGACTCTGTTGGTTCATCACTAGTTTCGTTTAAATTTTTATTATTTTGCAATTTTCGCGGTCGTCCACGTCGTTTCTTTAATTCTCCCTCCGTTTTTGACAATTCATTACAACTCTCGTTTTCATCGACAAATTTGACAAACCAATCATTTTGATTTACCCTTTCCTCATCGACTGGCCAATCCTTGATACTATTTCGTTCATACTTATCACCGTAAACTAGTTTTTCATTGAATTTCACGTCTCGACTTTCATAAAATTTTCCCTCCTCGGGTTTCAATAATTGATAACCAGTAGGAGTGTATCCAACTAAAATTACCCTTCGTCCCTCAAAACGGAATTTTGGTCCCGTCTTTCGTTGAACTTTAATATAAGCCAAACAACCAAAACGCCTGAGTTGATTCATATCGTAGTTATGATGAGGTGCAAATTTACTCATTGGTGTAATCATATCGTTAGATTTATGTGGAGTTCTGTTATACGCGTAAACAGCAGCACTCAGAGCTAAATCCCACATATTTTCTGGAAATTTCGCATCGTACATATGAGTTCTAACTTTCTTTTGAATAGTTTGATTAAAACGCTCAGCTACACCGTTATGCTCAGGAGTATCAGGACTAGAGTATCAGAACTGTTGTTCTGCTTCTAATTTATTTAAAACCGTAATCGTGTAACCTCCTGTATACTCCGTACCCTGATCTGAACGCAAATAACAGACTTTCGCATCACGTCCTAATAAGTTTCGCGCACTTCGTACAAACGCTTCAAGACAGTAACCTGTGTCGCTTTTATTTTTCATGGGATAAGCCATGGCAAGTCGTGAAAAATCATCTATAAATACCGAGATAAATCTATACCCTTTGGGATGAGTAGGAGGATTTATAGGCCCCATCGTGTCTGAATGAATTATTTGCAAAGACTCAGTTGCTCGTCTACGCGTCGTATTAAACGGTAATTTATTGAATTTAGATATCATACATACTTCACAATCTAGTAATGTTTCATCAAAAATGGCCTCTCGCAACTCTTTATTTTCTGGAAACTGTTTTTGCAAGCTCTTCAAATAACCTAAAGATGCATGACCTAATCTGACATGCCAGAGCATAGCCTTTTTATTTTTAGTGAATTTACTATATTTTTCGTTAAACGGTGATTCGTTATCTGAGATTTCTATAATAGGCAATTCATCAACATCACTAATTTTTCTGTCCCAAATCGTAGTGTCAAAATTTGAATGCTCGTAGATTATTTTTCTTTCGATCTTAGGATTCTGAGTTTCCTCGTGAATCCTTTCGTTATTTTCATTCAACACCTCGTTTTCTATATTTTTTAACACATCAGAGCATTCCAATTTTTCGTCATTGTTTACTGTCTTTATACTGTTCGTATCGTCAGTAGTTAAATTATCATTTTTTGCTAAAATATTCTCACGCATCGTTACACTTCGTGTCTTATATCTCGTTTCGTTTGCAATTGCTTTGATAAATTCAGTTGGACAAGCAACAATTCGTTTGTTATGGATTTTACTACTTTCATAAATTGCATTTAGACTATTTTTGTTTATTTCGAGATCAATAATCCAATAAGGTCTTTTATAAACACCCGTTATAAACGATTCGTTCGAAACTGGATCAAAAATATCTATCTTTTCGTTGTCTAAATAAATACCTAAACCCATTTCAGCGAATTTCCTTAACGATAGCAGATTATCAGAGAGGGCTTCCGCGCAAATCACATTATTCACAATAAACGTTTGACCATTATCAAGCATTACTTCAATCTCACCCTCTCCCTCCGTTTCTAAATCTGCTGATGCATTTTTATTCGCACACTTGATAATTCCACAATTTCCCTCATTAAACGTTCTAAAAATTATTCTCGAGTTAGTAATATGTTCAGTGGCACCAGAATCTGCCAGGAATTTTGCCACAAGTTTACCGTGATCAAGTTCGCGTTCATACTCATTAATTTGCATGCTCATATCGTTAATATACCGACCGTGTACGTCTGATGATAAAGCTTTATTAGATAAAAGTACATTACCTTTATTCATCTTCGAGTCACCTGACTTCGTGTTTGTTGCTTGTTGTTGCTTGGGCTGATTTGAGTTTTTAGCAACATTTTTGTAGTTACTACGACCTCGTCTGTTGTTGAACCTCGCTCGTTTCGATCCATGCTCCTTTGGATAATCGTTGTTCCTCCGCTTTTGAAACTGTCGATTGTCCCTTCGGAAGTTCTGAAGCCTTCCTTTCGCAGAGCCACGTCCTCGTTCACGCTCCCTATTCAGTCGTGCACGTCGATCTGGACAGTCCTTGGCTTTATGAGTTGTAAATTTACCACACTCATAACACTTTTTGAGACCAGTTCCTTTGTATGGACAATCACAACTGTGATGTCCGTAATCATCGCATTCAAAGCACCGATCTTGCGGATTTCGTTTGGTCACGAATGCAGCTTTCGTTTCTTTAACATTCTTTTGATGATTTTTATTTGCTTCTAATTGAATTAGAAACATTTTGAGTTCATCATAAGTTAAGCTTTTACCCGACGTTTTCCTTGTTAAAAATTCAACTGATTGAACTTCAGGAGTTGTAGCCATAATCGCACCGTAAAATGTGTCTCGTTTCTCTTCCTCTGAGAGAGCGTTCGTACCCGGAATATTTTCATAGGTACGAACCAATTCTTCAAATTTTTCACAAAAATCCGAAGAAGTCTCTTTAGTTGGATCATATGATAAACTGTTTAACTGTCTTCTCACTAAACTAGTCGTCAGATTAGTCTCGTTTTGTTTCAATTCTCTTAATTTATTCAAAAGTTTAACTGGATCTTTAATATGAATAACTTTAGAATAATAAGATTGTTCAAGTCGATAAATTAAGATATCTCTAACTCGAAATTTGTGATCTTCAACAGTCTTGCCGTCATAAACCCGATTCGTAACGACTGTTGAATCAATCACGTACAGTAATTCTTCCGATCTAAGTTCAGAAGAGAGAAAATCATAAAAATGTTCAAATTTCATCTGTGTCGTAAGTTTGTAATCTCGTCGAGTGTTTGGTCTTTTACTGATAATTTCGAGTTTGAGAGCTTCTTTCAGTTCGTTAATAGCCGGATGGGCTTCGTCACTCTTTTGTGCCTGTTTACCTGATCTTTGACTATTCAACTCCTGTCGTATCAATTCAGAAATCTTATTTGTCCAGTCGTTCGTCAATTCGTTGTTTTTCTCTCTGTCGTTACTCTCATCGTTACCAATCAATGCCGATTTAGAACTGATCTCCTTCAGCCTTTTGGCTTGAGTTTCAATATTTTCCTGCTGTCTTTTCAACTCATTCAGCAGTTTTTGCTGCATAACCTCAAGGCTCTTGACAGTATTTACAACACCTGTCAACATTTGACTTTGTTGTGTCATGAGCTTGTTAGTGGTAAAGCAATAATTTGTAACAGTCGTTAACGCATCGTTAGATATCGCATCGCTGCCTCCTTGTGGCTCTACTATTTGAGCGGAAGTAACAAACTTACTTCCTGTAATTAAAAGTTTTAGATTAAAATGAGGAAAATTTGCTGATTCAATTTTTACGATATGAGGACGTTTATTACCAGATGAGACTGCATTCGTTATTTCTTTCTCGTTCGCTTCGTTTTCGTTCGGTCGTTTACGCGTCGCACTCTTAATCATGTCATCCATATCGTTCAACAGCTCATCTTCCTCTTGTTGGCTTATAAATTTTGGCATTATCAGCTTTTTACCCTCATTTTCACACCAGTTTGTTTTCTCGTTCAGAAGATCCCACTCCTCATTTGATAAGTTTAGTTTAGCTAAGGAAATAAGTTTTTATTACTCATTTTAAAAGATGCCAAAATATATATCTCTAACTCAGCCAACCGAACATCAAGTATGGCTAAGCTGAGACAAATCTGTACACGTATATCCGAACATCAAGATTATACATCTACAGACCTTAATCCCCGCAACAATAATTGAATACACAGTATTAATCACTGCTCCGGAGATCCAAAAAGATAATTTGAAATCAATTTAACTTAAGTTCAAGTATTCAGATTTACATGTACATGTTCAGGTGTTAAATAATGTTAATTGAACTTTTATTCAAATGAAAAACACACCTGCTTTATACTCAACACCCGTTTGAGTTTTCAAAACAACGTTGTTTTCGACAACCGTTATCGTTACCTCCTCGTTTGGATGATTTTGACTAAATTTGAAAAAGTTCTCAAATTTATTCATCAAGCCTTCAAGGACCTGATCAATCATTTCTTGTTCTAGAACTGTGAAAATTAAATAAATTAATATTAACTCAAATCGTAACTGATCAGTATAGAAATTTTATTTATAATTTATTTAAATATTTAAATTACTCAGCATTACATCGATACAGCAACAACATTGTTCAGGTCAGCTAAGAGCCCATATAAAACACTTCGTTAGGTCGACCATCAAATTTATGTATAAACACATAAAATTTGAGACTCCGCTTGTCTCAATGTACGTACTATTTCGTTATGTTTATTTTAACCCTCGTAAACATCTTACGCTCTGTTACTAGCCTGACCAAAAACACGTGTTTCACACAATGCTTGCCTTGTAATTCAGCTAGCTGACTATTTTCCCATCATTTGGGCCTCTCGAAATTCGTTACTCAACTTTCGTATATTGCACTCGAGCTTATTTTTATAGTTTTCTTTGTTATATATTTTTATTATCGTTAAAGTTTAAGTTTTTCCTCGTAGTAACCACGAGTCAGAGAAACTCCTTGTAGGAACACATCTTTTATTTTTTTTTTTTTTTTTTCAAATTTTATTTTTAAAATAATTTATGACCCAAAGGTTTCTTTGGGGTACCAGAAATTGTAGGATTAAGATATTGAGGCATGCTAAGTACAGATGTTTATCGATAGACTTAGCATTTGTAAAGAACTGCAATTATACATTACAATTACAATGCGTCTAAGTACACTCGTAATTGTCTATCTCGTTAGAATTATTATCGTTCGTAAAATTATTACCCATCGTTCAAATATTTGTTAAACCACCTTTTTAATATCTGAATTTTGTAATATATATATGTATATATATATATTTTTTTTTTTTATAAATCTAAATAATATCATTCATTAAAATATTTAATAACATCAATTTTGTCTATCACATACATTATTTATATATAAGAAATATCGTTACTGTCGTTCTGTTTAAATTTCAAATTATCTTTAATTTTAAGTTTTAATATCGTAATTAAAGACATAATTATTTTATTTTACATGCCTCAAAACTTATCCATATTTAATCTCTTCACACGTATTACTTTTAGCCGTAACGTCATTAGTAAGTAAAATCTATTCGTTAGCGCATCGTATTATATTCATATCGTTAAATTGATTTTACTTACTTGTTGAATTCAAATCAATCTGCATGGGCTTTTCTGTCGTTGACGTAGTTAGTTTTGATTCCATTATCACAAATTAACCACTTTTCAAAATTAATACTTTTAATAATAAACACTAATTTTCGTAAACAATTTAATTTGTCAAATTATTTCAATTCGCGCAGTGGAAACTAGCTGGGCCTATAACCTGTTGGAGTTATGGTTTATAAATAATAACGCAAAGTTAAAGTTAATCAGAATTTATTAAGACTTTCGTACAGTCGTACAAATCGTTAAGACGCCCAAAAGAGGTTAAGTGAGTACACAAAAGATGCAGACACTCTGAACCCTTAGTACTCCAGTGGGAGGGGAGAAGCTGCGCAAAGAGCGCAGTAGAGTCAAATAGCATAGGCGCTAACTACTATTCCAACAAATTTTTAACATGTAAAATTCTTAATTTATATTAGCTTACAAAATATTAAAATTAATATATATTTAGTAAAATTATTATACTGCAGAGTAATTTTAACATCTTAAGTTCTTTTTTTCGCTGATATACCAGATCGGTAATTTTAAAATCGACATGTATACGAAAAATGTATTAAATTTACAATTTTTTTAACAGTGCAGGTAATTATTTTATTTCTCTCGACTTCTGAGGAACAAAGCGATCAAAACCTTATTAATTATTGCTTGCTAGGCCTTTCTGTCAGCTTGCATTAGTCAATTTAATTTGTAATAAGTACTAATGCCGATTTGCAGTTACAGGTAAAATATTTGCCGGGGAGTACGTGACGCGACGCGGTGACCAGGTCTTTGCCGCCAGATCAAGTAACTCACCGAGGAGATTTTTGTATCAGCATCGAGACAAGGAGTTCGCAGTTCATCGTGGGAGTGCGCAATTAAAATTATAAAAACTCCAGGTACAAATATCACGTCTAAATAATCTCTCGGTGGTGCGGCGTCAGCCAGGCACTCAAGTCGGCTGAAGGTCATCGCCATTTCGCGTTCGGTCACAATCATTAGTTTCCCTGATTGAAAAAAAGTATTGAAAAGTATTGAAAAAGTATGTAATTCAATACTTTTTCAATACTTTTCACACACTGTATATCTATATATACATACAATATAGATATACAGTTGCATGGTTCAATACTTTTTTTAAATCAGGGTTAAGAATTACGTCGTAGAATTTACTTAAATATTATATTGAAATTTATCCATTATAATTTACTTAAAATATTAGATGGAATTCATTTATTAGAATTTACTCAGAATATTATTTAGAAAATATTTAAGAATAAATTTCGGAATGAATTTAAGAAAATTGAGAAAAGTCCAAAATAAAAACCAGAATAAAATTAAGAATGAAATTAAGAACGAGTTAGAAATAAAGTTCTAAACATTTAATTAACAAAACCAGGAATTATTTCGGTTTGTCAATTAACTACGTAGGCAGAGTTTGGATTGACTTTACTAGGAATAATTTCGGTGGGTCAATTCATGACTTCGGTGCCATGTAGAACAAAATTGTCTTTGATAATCGAGCTTGAGTAAATTTATTTAATTAATTGTATAAAGTAAAATCAGTAAAATGTTTTAGAGGAATTTTAGTAAAAATCATCTGACGCAAAATTTATTAAACTCAGAGAAATAATTCATAATACCCTGGCGGTTTCATGCTTACGGTAAATCCGCGGTGACTCCATAGTGAAAAGATGGTCGATTCACGGTCGTTTCACGTGACGGCTATTTCACTATCTAGTTAGGGTTGTAGTAGGGTGAAATCACTGTCGAAAAACAGTATATTCGTTCTGTTGCGTCACTAACTACAGATGGTAAATAAATGTTGACTTATCAGCAGTTCTATGATGAAAAGACCGTTCGTAATTCGTGGAACCTTAGCATTTATGTTGTCAGTATGGCATGCTTCTACTGCGGAAAAATGATTTTTTCAAAGTGAACACCTCATAAACTCATAGTGATATCACTGTGGACCTACTACGGTTCGACGATCGTTCGACCGTCAACTCACGGTAAAATCACCTTCTTTTCACCGTATATACTCGTTCGTTTTCTTCCGGACAAATGATGTAAATGCTGTTCAATTATTATTTAATAAACAGTGTAGAGTGCTGAACTCTATTGATATTTCACATTAAATTTAGTTATTTATAGTTAATTTTCCGAATAAATAAATTTTTAAAATAAACGCTTTAAAACATTTCATTTACAAATTAATATTTTTTCGCTCGATTAAAAAATATTTATTTTTTAACACTATTCGACAGTTAATAAATTTAATAATTACATCAATATGTATATGACAAACACAAATGAAGGAAAGCTTATGAAATAAAAAATTTTAATTATGTTATTTACAGAATCAGGATATTTCAAGATACAATAAAAATCGTCCTTAATTACCATGGTATAAATATAAAAAAAAATTTTCATCAACTTTTAATTAAAAACTACCTGCCCCTGTCTAAAAATATTCATTCAAACTCACTACCATTTAGTAGACAGTCCCATGGCTAAGCGGTACAACGCTTGTCATGCTTGCTTGGGACTAGTGAGGCGTGAGTTCGAATCCCGGTGTGAGCTGAAATTTAATTTTCAGTGAACATCGGTACTCATAACTCACGCCGGGCTGTACAGGCTTAGTAGTGTATCAAGGAGTTAGTAATTAATAAATTAAAAAAAACCGTAAATATTACTTAAAATTATTATTGTCCTAAAAATACTAAATTTTTCATTTTGGAGAATTTTAGCATTTTCAAATGGGATTTTCTATGAGTAAGTTATTCAAAGATGGTCAAAGGAGTGTTATTTGACAAAGGAAGGAACGTGAAACGACGGTAAATCGACAGTGACACGACGATGAAACAACAGCAAAACGACGGTGAAACGACTTTGGATTCACTCCTATTTTACTGTGTAACAAAAGTGCTTTGACTGTCAAATAACTATACATTTATAAACTTTTTACAATGGTTTCACTCCATAGTTGCCATATAAAAATGTCGATTGAACCATTTTACCAAGATCTAATGATCTGACATATACCATATTTTGACAGTAGTGAAATGAAAAGTCACCAATGTTTCACAGTGAAATCACTACTGTAATACTAAGTTCTCACTGTAGACCATAGAGGGAACTACCGACTTTCCATAGTATTTTCACCGTGACCACAAAACCGCCAGGGAGGTAATTAAATTGTTTAAAATAATATCATTTGTAATGAAATTAGAATCAGCAAAAATTACTAGAATTGTTCATGTAAATTATTTAGTTCAAAGTAGAAAATAAAATTTGTAAAATTTCGTCAAAAAAATAATCGCCAAGTGTCGAGCGACAGAGACGCCAGGCCGAGCGAGAGCGTTAGCCATCTTGTCCCGCGCGAAAACGCTGAGTAGAGGACACTCAAGGTCGAGACTAAAGTCTTACGGTGTTGCTAGGCAGAATATAATCCTCTGTTAAAATAAAATAAAATAAATGCTAAGTTTTTCAAGCAACACAATGGACGGTAAAATAAAATAAGGTAGATAAAATAAAACTCGATTATTCAAGGACAAGTAAAACAGTTTAGTGAAAATAAATTAAATAAACTCAATTGATAAAATTTTAGTTAATAAAAAAGACAAGTTCTCTATTAAATAAAATAACTCATAAATTTTGATAAAATAATTCGGACTAAATTAACAACTATCTAATAAATTTGATAAAATTATAGTAAAATAAATTGAATAAATTAAGTAAATTTAGTAATAATAATTTTGTAAACACTCGGAAGTAACCAACACGTTGTTGGCAGATTATTAAGACCTCTGTCAATAGATTTTAACCTATTAATACAAGATACGAAGACCTCTTGATATTAAATATTTAATTGTTGTATTATTATAAGACCACGACATTAAATTAGTTAATGATTTTAATTTGGGAATTAGATTAGGAATTTTATAAATAATTTAGGAACTCAGATTTAGTAAATT